CAACCCCACGCGTATACAAGTTCACTGATCTACAGTATATTTGTAGAACGAATTTCTCAAAATAGAAAGGCTGTATCTTTTGAATATTGATAGATATGGCCAAATCCATAGGGACTGCCGGGGCTTAGTCTCAGGCCAGCAGTGCGTAAGAGTACCTGGTTCTTCACAACCTTGACCGACTTTGGACAGTTCGACAGCTGAAAAGCAACCACAGTGTAAGTGTTCAAGTCCGTTGCTGGGTTGTTGCCTTTTCATATGGTTTGAGCCTCACACTTCCTTTTCTGTGGCTGCTCACTTCTTTTACCGTTTCTCCCCTGTTAGCGTATGACATTTTCTTTTGTATTCATAGTTCCTCTTCTTTTCTTTTTTTTTTTTAAAGGAAGTTAGCTTTCATGTATGAGTTTGGAATCTTTTAAACATATTTTGTCATGAATATTTTAAAATGTTAATTTAGTTGAATTTATCACTTTCTTTTGAAAAAAGCTTTCAGCTTTTTTTTTTAAATTTTAAAATGCCTTCTCTCTGAATATATGCATGTATATATTATACATGTCCTCCCATTTTCTTAATTTTGTTTAAAACATGTTTTATCATTTGGAATTACTTTGGTAGGAGGTATGAAGTAGAGATTCCAACATTATTTGATTGGTTGACTGGTTTCGAGACAGGATCTCACTATATAGCCCTGTCTGGCCTGGAATTTGCTATATAGACCAGACTGTCCATGAATTTCCTGCAGTCCTTGTTTCTGCCCCTCAAGTGCTGGATTGCAGGCTACAGGTATATACCACTAAACTCAGTTCCCTCTCTTTCCCTCCCTCCCTTCTTCCCTCCCTCCTCCTTCCCTCCCTCCTTCATATGGTAATCTAGTTGTCTCAAAAAGAAGTTCTTATTTCCTCTTGTGATCTGAAATGCTTACCTGAGAGTCTCTGCGCCTGGCTCCATTCCTGACCTAGAGCTCGGTCCCATTGCCCACGGTGTGCTGATGCCTAAGCACCACGCTGCTTTTAGTAGCAGAGCTTTCCTGTCCACGCTCCTTGGCGTTAGGTGGCCTATTCATGCTATTTTTTTTTCTACTTCTAGTTTGTATTTTATTGTCAGAGTTAGTTTGTGTAGCTTCCTCCATCAACCGACTCTAGACGATTTGTTATTTTTAGAGAGCATGCTGAATTGATAGATTATCTTTGGGGGAATTGAAGGTTCTGCGGCAGCTCACTTTGCTGCAGAAGAAATAAATGGTGTGTCTCTTTCAGTGGCATCGACGGGTGTCCCTAATACGGGTCTCATTTATTTTCCTCTGCACTTTTCTATTTGATACTATTCTCCTATCTTTAGTTCTAGCTGCTGTTTGGTTGTAGTTTTTCATGAAGGGTTTTTAACTTCTGTTCTGATGCTACTGGGGTTGGAGCCTAGGGCTTCCAGCATGCGAGACAAGTGGACCCCAGTCTCCTACGTTAGTTTCATATCTAGCCATCCTACGGAATTCTATTATGGAAGGGTTTTCAGCTGATTTCTAGATAAATAGGCATGTTGTCTGCAGATGGCAGTAGTTTTTTACCTCCTACCTCCCAATTTAGTTTTTAACCTTATCCCTCTTTCTAACTTAGTGAGAATGCTTTCAGTAATTTCCCTCATAAACACAAGGTCCCTAAAGATTTCTTCCTGAAAATTCATTTTCAAGTCCTTTGTAAAAATGATCTTTGCTCTATTATCAGGCAGGGGGTAACTGTGTCAGAATTCCTAGTCTTTTCTTGGAAAGAGCAAAGAATTATAGGATTCGAGTTAGGTAGGTCTTCCTTACTTTTAACACCATTTTCCACGGACTCTCACTCGGTATCTCTCCAACACTACAGAGAAGGAGACAGTGTCCTTCATTCAGGAAGCGGCCTTGCGGCCTGCTGAGCAGGTCTTTTCAGTCTCTGGGCTATGGCTCAGGAACCCAACAAATAACTGTCCTGCTGCTGGGGAGATGAGCAGCTGAGAGTCCTTGGGGCACCTGCTGGGAGCAGCTTGCTCAGTCTACCTCCAGGTTACCTTCAATTGTCAATTCACCACCAGGTCAGGATGCTCACATCACCTCGTCATCTGCTCACACAGTCATTGCTTTCTAGAGCTCTGTGATTCCTATGTGAAGAAATCCCACACTCAAGGACCCAAAGTGAGACCATCTGAGCCATTGCTTTATTGTCCTTCGAATTCTGTTATTGGTTCTAGACTTTTAATCATAATCACTTTTCATACTGGTATAACCTCACCTCCACCTCCACTGAGACAGTGTCTAACTATAGCACATGCTGGGACTCGAACTCAGGGTTCTCTTATCTTAGCCTTCTGAATACTGAGATTTTAGATGTGTGCCTCTGTGCTAACTAAAGAACAACTATTTACTGTGGTTCCATTTGCTTTCTGACACTTACTTCAGTCTGCACGTTCTGTGAACCTAAATTGTACTGTAATCTAGGTCAAGCCCCATGGGGATTCGGTTGCAATCCTGATCAGTTTTTGGTTTTGAGGCAATAGAGTTATAAACTACTCAAGGGAGTAGCTCTTCAGATCGCAGACTTTGTTTTCATTCGGCTGAAGAACAGTCATGGCTGACATGAAAACTTGGGTGATGTCTTGGTAAGTAAGGAGACGGGGCAAAGCACATGTATCTGACCCTTGTCCTGGTGCTTGAGCGGGAGACAGTGACTTGTGTCAGTAAAGGCCACCACATTTCACATTCCATCTTCTGTTTCTATGCTTGGTGCTTTTATTTTACAGACAGGGTGAGGACCCTGTACACAGCTGTGTGGCCATCTCATTTGCTGAAGGCAGGATGGGATGCTGGGGTTTGATTTCAGCGCCATATAATCTTTGTACTTTACCCACGTAACAGCACATGGTGTGAAGTTAACGATATACGTGGCGTTTGCTCTCCTCGACAGACTGCAGAAAATGTTCCTGATATATAACAACAGTGCCATTACAAAACAAGGCTGCTGTATTATGTGTAGTCTCTAGAGCTAAAGTTTCCTCTCCTTCCCCTGCCCCTTCCCCCTCAGCCTCCAGGGTGACGGGGCCTGCAGAAATGATAAGTGATCCATCCATAGTTATTTAATGAGCGAATGATGTGTAAAATTCAGTTCATGCTGAGTGTGTGTATTAAAACAATAATTTTATTACTGATTGTTATCAGTGTTTATTTAAAACATTCCTTTGGCTGTCAACTTAAATAAGACAAGCAATGCATCTGCCCTAGACTAATATTCTAGAATATTAGTTGGGAATTACACTCGCCACTGTAGGACATGTGTTTCTACTAATTAACTGCAGCACAGCTAGTCATTAATGGTCAAATGGCTCAATTTCACCCCTCCTTCCTCAGCGTAGCTAAATATACTGCTCTCTGGAGGCCTGGAGAGGTGGTAGGTCCAGAAATAACAGCCAGTATCATTTGAGGAGTGTGTGCTGACCTTTTCCAGGCACTGACCAGCAGAATTACAGAACCAGCCTGCTCCCTACCCCCACCTTCCTGAGGACCATACTAGGAGTTTTGTGCTTACAATCATGGGGTAGGGACAGGATTGCATTCCATACAGACGTTGGTTTTTCTTGAAGTCATTCTAGGCTTCAGATGTCTTAGCCTAGAATCTTAGCACCCTTAATCTTAGCAGTCAGGAGGCAGCAGCCAGGAGATTGTGAATTGGTTTGAGGCCAGCCTGGGCTGTGTGGTGGCACTCTGCTCTACCGAGCTAGGTCTGAGGATGCAGCTTAGCTTAGTGGGAGAGCACAGGCATGGGCCCTAGGTTCGACCCCCAATGCTGACAGTGATCTAAAGTAGGTTGTTTTCTGAATCTACAATGCATTTTCTCTTTTTCTTGTTATTCTCTACAACGGGTATTGAGGAGAGAAATATGGAGAAATCCCCTTGGCAGGGGGCAAATCTTAGTTTAATGCTTTTGTAGCACATTTCATTAATAACAACAGCAACAAATTCCACGACCCTGAGAGTGAGTTAGAACAGGGTGCCTTTCTTTTCCCTGACCACAGAGAATGTCCATGAGGAAAAGGACTTCACTCCAGCAGCCAGGCTAACAGCCATTCCATCAGCAGCCTGCAAGTCTCCAGGCCACTCCAAATGCATTCTGAAGAAGAGAGGGTCGTGGGCTTATATCCATGCTTGCGGCCAGGTTATCCCACAGAGTAGGGACTAGAAGAGAAGCCCAAAATCATTCCAGCTCACTGGCAAGTCCAGAGAGCCCCACCTTCTAAACCAGCAAGTTCTCCTCTGTTTAAACAGTTGGGCTATCACAGTTCACTTGCAGGCCAATGGCACTTAGGTACACTTTCACTTTAATTTAAGTGGGCATTTTGGAATAATAGCAGCTTTGAGGACTTTGGGGAGGCGGCAATTAGTATTCTCTTTTCTTGCCAAGATTATGCTTCTTTAAAAAGATACTGTCTTCTCTGAAGAGCTGCAGTCTTGCTAACCTTGTTGGCCCTGGCACCACCAGGTACAAAATCATCAAGCACCCTGAGGTTTTCATAATTTGAATCTGTAGATGAGCTAATTGGGGTCCTTTGTATTGTAAACAGACTCCATATCATCTTACTCCAAAACTGTCATCTCATCCAAAATCAATTAAGAAAACAACATGTTCTTGGGGCTCATTAACCACAGGATCACTAGTATTTTTTTTCTTTTCTTTTTTCTGACTTTTTTTTTTCCCAAAATGGTGTCTGGTTTTGTCCTGATGAATATTCTAGAAGATATATAATGAACAAAAGGTGATTGAAAATAGAAATAAATCAGTGAAGTAATCTTAGTGAACAATGGTGGTTTTTCTTTTTTCTTTTTCTTTTCTTTCTTTCTTTTTTTGAAGTCTTGCTAAATCCATTGAATAGAAAGGGAAGAAAATAAGTTATTTGTTGGTGATGAAAGATGTCCAATCCCTACAGAAGAAGTAAAGTATCAATCACATGACGTTAATCCAGAATTGTCTTCCCTTTGTATTTAGATCTTTCTCTGGAATTAAAGGACTCCAGCTGAAAGTTAACCTCCAACCCAACGACAATTACTTCTTCTATGTGAGAGCCATCAACGCGTTCGGGACAAGCGAGCAGAGCGAAGCCGCCCTCATCTCCACCAGAGGTACTTTCTACTTAGCGCAGAGCCGGTATGTCTGGCTGTTTGCATTTCCTCCCCTCCTGCCAGCCAGAGGAGACACCCAAGGCAACTCCCCAAAGTTCCAGCCTGCTGTCAGTGAGAGGATTTGTCAGGAGCTCCCAAGATGGATCTAGCAGCAAGATGGTTCTTTGATTTGCATTCTTCAGAGGTTCCCAAGCTTTGCTGTGTTTGACAACCGGCCAGGGTACTTAAAATACTGATTCCCCTGGTCTCACCCCAGAGAAATGGACGGGTTTGATCTGGAGACGGGTTGGAGCATTTGTGGGCTCGGAAGTCTTCCCAGGTGCTTTGTGATTCACTCAGAATGCTCTATAATTTGTAGGTGTGGGATGTGCAGAACGGTTTTCTCATTCTGTTATCCTTTGAACTCTGTGTCAGGTTTCCAGTTTTGTTCGACTTATCCTAGTTCGTGCTAATTAATGTTTGTCAAATGAACAAACAAATGAACGAACAAATGAATAGTTCAAATAGGTGATAAAACAGTTCAGTAACATCTGGGGGGACATCCCCAGAGAATAAAAACATTTGGCTGTTTTCAGTTATGAGGAATGAGGAATTGGAAGGCGGAAATCATGCTGCCTCATCCTAGGTCTACAGATGGCACAAGGTTGAGGGGCCACATTAAGTCACTGTGCTATGTATGCCCTGTTTGGGATGTTGGTAGGGCCTGCCTGAGTTGTAGGAAAGGATGGGAGAGCTGCCTATCTAGGGATGTTTCCCACCATCTCAGTACACTGCCTGCATCTTCCATTATCGGATCCTCTGCAGGCTATCCTAATATGCTAATATCCTAATATGCCCCCAATTTTAAAGCACACGCAGATCTTTGAGCATTTTGTACAAGTAGACATTCAAATTCAATAGGTCCAGGGTGAGGTCTTCATTTCCAGGTGATGTGGCTGCTACAGGGAGCACACATTGCCTAGCATAGACCCCCTCTACCCCCACCCTCACCCTCCGCAGCAGGTAGGAGTGACCAGCCCAGGGCGTCCACTAATGCCTTGCTCACAGATGGCGTTTCAGCTGTGGATTGAAAGTCTAGAGTCAGGACTTTTGACTTCAGGAGAATGGGAGCCTACGGTTTACTGTGTATGGATTGGCCTGGTGATTGGCCTTGTGATAGTGCTATCTTCTTATATTCTTCCACAGGAACTAGATTTCTCTTGTTGAGAGAAACAGCCCACCCAGCTCTCCAGATCTCCTCAAATGGGACGGTGATCAGCTTCTCTGAGAGGAGACGGCTGACAGAGTAAGTAGAAGCCACCATAGCTGGGCTGATGCTCAGCTGTAGAGGATCGGTTTCCCCAGTTCTGTATCAACTGAGCGCATTCTCAGTTTAATGAGATTGCTCAATTATGTGACGGATATAACACACGTGCAGCAGGCAGTGTTCACTATGAGGTGTGCAGCGGCACGTATAAGCTCACAACTTGGAGCAAGTGTCAATATTTTTATTGGGACCATAAGTGCAGATGGTTTTTACCTTAAAGCAGTCAGTATTTCAACCAAAACCAAAATACTGGCTGCTTTCAGGTATTATCTCTGGTTCAGTGAAAAACAGAATCCAGTGATAATTCTGTTATTTTCAGTAGGAACCCAGGTATTGACCACTTGGATAGGAACAGAATGGTTTATTGAGTTCTTAAGTCTGGCCACAGAATCTTGCCCTCCAGTATCTCCCACAAAAGGCAGTGACATCAGCCGGGGGTGGGAGGGTGGCGCATGCCTTTGATTCCAGCACTCGGGAGGCAGAGGCAAGCAGATCTCTGTGAGTTCGAGGCCAGCCTGGGCTACAGAGTGAGTTCTAGGAAAGGCTCCAAAACTACACAGAGAAACCCTGTCTCAAAAAACCACCACCACCAACAACAACAACAACAAAACAAGGCAGTGACATTAAAGAAAACAGGGATCAGAATCTTAGGATGGGTGGGAGACTGCCTGGCAATTTGCCTGCTCTCTGTCTCTGCCTCTCATCTCTGTCTCTCCTTCTGTCTCTCTCTTTCTCCCTCAGCTATCTTGAGGGTTGAAATGCCAACTGGGACAAAGTATGGGCAAAGTATAGATGGAATTTCTCTGTGTCCCAGCAGCTGCTCCCAAATAACCACACTGAGACTTATTAATTATAAATGCGTGGCCGATAGCTTAGGCTTGTTTTTAGCTAGCTCCTATAACTTAAATTAACCCATCTATGTGCTACCCTGAGGCTCATTTACCTCATCTATGTACTTCCCATCCTGCTTGCTCTGCATCTCATGGTGTCTCCTCAGGACCCTGAGACTCCTCCCTTTTTCTTCCCAGTGTCCTTCTCATCTGACTCTCCTGCCCAATCTCTTCCTACCTGGCTATAGGCCAGTCAGCTCTTTATTAACTAATGAGAATAATATATATTTACAGCATGCAAAGATTGTTCCATAGCAGCAAAGCTTTTGAAACACGAGCTGCAAAAGACACCGATATGCCCAGGTATAGGCTGGTAGCAGTAACAACATCGCTCCAGTCCCTGGTAACTTGCATGTACTCTGGTCCCATCTTGATGCTCAACTGTCCACTGCCAGATTTACATATTACTTGTTTCTGGAGATGACCAAGTCTTCCCCAGGCCCCAGAACCTCTGATCTTTATTTATAAGGCTGTTTACTCATCATTTAATCACAAATAATTGCTGAACAGCAGTCCTGTTTTAGGCTTCTTTGAATCCCTGGAATCTAGCATAAGGATTGGAACATTGTAGGTGCTAAGAATTATACCTACTCATGGATTGAGAAAACCAGTTCAAAAAATGATTGAAGAATAGATGTGGTGGGGCTGGAGAGAGGCTCAGTGGTTAAGAGGACCTTCTGCCCTTACAGAGGATCTGAATTAGGTTCTCAGCACTCAAGGTGGGCAGCTCACAACAACCTGCAACTCACGCTCCTAGGGATCTGATGCCCTCTGCTGGTCTTTGTGGGCACCTGCCCTCATGTTCACATATCCACACACATAACAACACATACACATAATTTAAAAAATCAATCTTGAAAAAAGAAATATATGGCGTTTATTTTAAAAAATAATGTTTCTTTTTAAAAAGAAGTACACTGGAGTTGTAAGAGTTCGTAGATGCTATCTGATGGAAACGGGGATGTTTCCAGTTTGTTTACTAATTATTAGCATGAAAATTAGCTCATAAGTACCAGGAAGCCTGGCTTTCCTCCAGGGAGTGAGGGCTTGTCAGTTGGCATCTCTCTGAAATGAAGTTATTGGGTAAAGACATAGAGCAAGTGAAATACACTGGCTTGTATTAATCATTTTCTCATCTGTTCAAGGGGAGAGGGAGGGAGTGCTGACTGAATAGTAACACTATGAAGTTAAAAATGCCTCCTTGCTGTCTCAGCCATTTTCCAGCAAAACTGAGCAACCCATGCAAACAAGGTCACTTGTCCATGGTTGCAATTTCGCTGCGCTCTTGATCAAAATAACTACAGTCAGGCAGAAAGAGGCCTTGAACTCACCTCCCAGAGGCACCTGCAGCCAGGGAGACTGGAGCACCTCCCCAAAGCCACTGGTCACGCTGCTCAGTTCTGTACTCTGCTCTGGCTTTGCCAGCTGTCCTGACATTTAAAAGCTGTGCCCTGTGGGGTCACTGTCACCCGCAAGGTCAGCTCATACTGGAATTCAGTTCTAGAAGGTTTGAAAGGCTAAACTTGGTTGTACACACCTATAATCCCGACCTTCAGGAAGCCAAGACAGGTGCATCACAGAGTTTGAGGCCAAGGTGAGCTACATAGTGAGTCCATGTGCCAAAAATCCAAAATGTGAAACTTTCTGGAGATTCCATTTTTTTTTTTAATTTTTTTTGGTTTTTCGAGACAGGGTTTCTCTGTGTACCTTTGTGCCTTTCCTGGAACTCACTTTGTAGATGAAGCTGGCCTTGAACTCACAGGGATCCGCCTGCCTCTGCCTCCCAGAGTGCTGGGATTAAAGGCGTGTGCCACCACCATCCGCCTTGGAGATTCCATTTTTATTTTTGCAGGTTTTGGAAGAAGAAAACTTTGTAAGCCATGTCCTCCCACCTGCCTCCATTGTACCCCTTCCATTTCCCTGAGGGCAGAAGTCATGGCATTTCTCTTCCTCCTTGTCATTATACCACTCATCACCTGATTCCCAGACCCTTTAAGAGACACAATGTACCATATGTTCATGCATAAGTCAGCAGGTATATGTCAAATGCATGCTGGAGGTCGGTGAATCCTGGGGCAATCTGGTCAGGATTAGGAGCATAAGGAGCAGATGGTATCTTAGTCAATTGCCAGCAGTTTCTGAGATAGACCCCTGCCTAAAGGGCAGGTAAGGTTGATGCTCCTAGGGTAAAGGCTGGTGATTTCTGTGATAACCTTCAGCTGATCATCATTGCTTACAGGATCCCCTCCGTGCTGGGGGAGGAGCTGCCTGCCTGTGGCCAGCATTACTGGGAAACCACAGTCACAGACTGTCCGGCTTATCGACTCGGCATCTGCTCCAGCTCAGCTGTGAGGGCTGGTGCCCTGGGACAAGGGGAGACCTCGTGGTACATGCATTGCTCTGAGCCACAGAGGTAAGCTGGGGCCCTGCCTTCCTTAACTTAACCCAAAGGTCACTTACAGTGTCTAGGCAGGCATCTAATGAGGAGCTTGTCATGTCCTTGTTCAACTTCCAAACTAGGTAAGACAGCAAACATAAAGGGTGTGGCAGTTAAAGCATCATTCTGATTATCACAGAATCTAGACAAGAGGGCATCTTATATTCAACCTCATTACCATACAGACCCAGCCACCCAGAGCCAGCAGCCTTCCCGCTCTGTGGGGCCTCAGCTTGGCTCTGGAGAGGCAGAGAAGGGTGTTATGTCCTCTCACCAGCCAAGACAAAGGAAAAGAAGAATCTGGCAGTTTCCCTTCTCAACTCATCCCAGGGTGGAGAGAAGTACCACTATGATGCTCAAAGGGCTCCCTCTACAGAGAAGGAATTGGCAGGGGTGAGAAAGAGGTGTTTCCCCAGCTCTCTGCCCAGCATCGACTTAGAACAGAAACTGACAAATTATAGTACATTGACCCATGCTCAATTTTTGTAAATAAAGTTTTATTAGAAAACAGTCATGTTCATTTGTTTATATATTGTCTATGGCTACTTTTGCACTAATGTGGCAGATTGGAGAGAGACTGAATAGCTGTCACATACCAAGATTTTTTTTTTCCTGTCTCTTTGTAGATAAATCTACCGAACAATGCCTGGTCTCTATTACTCATACTGTTTGGTGGGTGCATAGTCAAAGCCATTAGCCTGTGTTAGACTCGAGGGCTGAGGTGACATGCTGTGATCTCAGTGTGCTTACAGGATGATCTGATTCTTGTCCTGGCCTTACCCTTGACTCTGCCTTCTATTGATTACTCTCCCTAAGTTCGTTAACCCTTTGATCAATTCTTTATGCATTTAGTCTATCTCAGAAGGCCTTGGTTTACCAGTCCTTGACATGCACTAAGGCTTAGTAAGGTTGAGGCCTGGTCTGCTACCTTTTAGGATCGTAGGATCACATTAAGTCAGAGACGAGGAAGAGCTTGGCACTGTAATATGTCATCCAAGCGGCAAGCATTATTCAAATGCAAGACTTTAAAAAGGAAGCTGTCCTTCGACACTCTTGCTTATAAGCTCTCAGAACAGGCCCCCAGCCTGGGATCTTGCATATCTTCAGTTGCACATACCAGCCCACCCCACACACATTCTACTTGACAGTTTGATTCTCTGAGATGGTTCACAAGGATGCCATCTCCAAGTGCTATTTAAAGTCACATTTCATCGAGTCAGAGCAATTATGATTAACTGATATTCAGTGCTGTGCCATGCTGAAGGGCTCAGCCCTTGCCCAGAGTTTAAAATCATTTAAGCCTAGAGTTTACAGTTAGCAAGTTATAGGAGCCCAACATAGGTATTGATTTCATTCAACACAAATCTTCAGGCTAGTAAGATGGTTCAGTGGGTGAAAGTCCTTGCTGTGTAAGCCAGACAACCTGAGTTCATGGCAAAAGGAGAGAGCCAATTGCCAAAAGCTCTGCTCTGACCTCTGTGTGTGGACCGTAGCAGGCAGGCATCGTGGTGCACAAGTGCCCCCCACAGTAGAGGTAATAATAATGATGGATGATGATGATGATGATCTTTTACATACTTTAGAACACAAACCAAAGGGTAGCTTCCAACCCTCCAATCACAAATTCCTAGGACTTACTTTATAGAAAACAGAGTTGTATATTTTGCGACAAGTTCTTCCTATAACTTTGGTCTTGGTTCTTTCAGGCCCAGTGTGGGCTTCTGGGAGGCAAATACACCTGCCTTTGTGGTTGCAGCACAGAGGCCACTCTCAGGTGCCTTTATTTCATGCTTTGATGGTGCCATATGAGGCACCCACGACCTTTAGGATTCTGGGAGAGCAGCGCAACAAGCCCACCTGTGATTCTCAGTTTTCTAGTTCAGTGACTTTAAACCAGCTCTATGACTCTTGGTTGAACCTAATGTGAAGATGGTCTTAGGAGACACCAGTGGTTCCATTCCAGGTCCTTCTTAACTTTGCTGTATTGGTTCAAGGCCACTCGTGTTCTTTACCAGTCTTACCCTAACCATGCCCACACTGCCCTACCTGCCACAGCTAGAGAGAGTTTTTAAACATTATTTCATCATATCCCTCCCTCTTCTAAAATCAGTCCACAGGTATCTCTGGTGGTATCAGAGCTCGGGGTGGAAGGACATTTACAGGACACAGAGAAGAAGGGAAACCAGGGAGCAGTGACCAGGCTAAGGGAGGAGGGAAGTTGTCTCCTGTGTAAAAAGGGGTCTGGCTGAGCCTGGATCAGCTTGTGATCAGGGTGATGGAAGCCCCAGGGCAGGCAATCCGAGAATCAGTCATAGTCAGGCTTCTGGATGATTCTTATTTGAATAGAGATCAGTAGTCCCAAATAGGAACAGGCAAATGGTGGGGAGGGGGAAATGGGGCTCATGCCCAAGCAAGACTAAAGAAAACCAACTCTAGCAGAGGAATGCTTCCTTTTAGCCCACAATTTCTTTTCCCAGTCACTTGGCCTGGTTGCTCTGGGCCTGTGACAGCATGTTAGACCTTGGTGGTAATAACACATGGCAAAGGAAGACTGTTGGCCTCATCAAGGCTGGTGTGCAAAAAGAAAGAGGAAGAAGTCATGGTCTCACTACCCCCTTCAAAGGACTTCCCAGGGTCCTTCCTTCCATGAAGTCCCACTTCCTGAAGAACCTACCATCTTCCATTGCACAGGCTGTTGACCAGGACTGTAGCACATAGGCCCGGGGAGTCAAAAGCCTGTGATAATCACATGTACCCTCACTTAAGAGTACCATGAGGAATTGTGCTAAGAAAGAAACAGTAGAAATGAGAATGTACTCCAGGTCCTGTGGGTGCTGTGGGACACAGAAGTATGAAGTAGGAATTCAGCTGACTATGGCAAGAGCTAATACCTGGAAGAAGCCAAGGGCCTTCCAGAGGATAAAGCCAAGGTTCAAGGAGTCTTGGTGACATTGGCTCTTAAATATTAAGCTGTTTTCCTGCGATGAATTTCTTGCATGCTATTGTAGCTTTTCCATTCCTAGAACAGTGTGGATTGATTGTTCTTTGGATATAGTTTTTCCATATACAATTAAGGAATTTGGATAACAGTCACCCAGAAAAGGCTTCCTTCTTCCAGACCTTTTGTTTCTCCTTTTTAGCATTAGAATCATATGACTGCCTTCTGTAACTCTCTCCTTTAGCTAGCATCCAAGGCCAGGGCCAGCTCCAGACAAAAGCATTTTATCTGAGATACCTCTTAAACATCCAAGGACAAAGGGCAGACAGAATAAGCATTCCAGACCACCTGCTAGTCTCCCGAATTAAGGTAAATATCCATACGGAGACACAGCCTAGGCCAGGCAGATGTTAGGTACATAGCTTTGCTTCTTGTGCAAATTAAGCTCAGACCCTCCTTTCTTATATATATATATAGCCTTAGTGGCATCTCTAGACTTCCCTTTTGACTTTTAAGTTAGAACAAAAGGTCCGTTTGGATATCAGGTACATCAAGCTGTGACACAGGCTGCTTAGCTACCCCCACCCTGCCCAAAAAACGATGCAGCTGAGTTTTACAGAGACAGCTACGACTCCTAAAGAAATAGAGGCAGTTTTATTTTACTCATGATTTATACTAACATTGAGGACTCCTAACCACTTCTAGGAATGTAGTTTGAGCACATAAATTCCCTTTTTCTGATATATTAACCGATTTAAGCTCTTAGTTGACCCCACCTCCTTTAATCACTCCCCTTTTGGGTTATAAAAGAAAGCCTGACAGTCACTGCCTGAGGTAAACTCTTATCTGCCTTTATGACCCTGTAAGAATTCAAGCCTGGGCAACCTTGCTTTGGCCAAAGAATTGCTGCTTTGTATGGGTATATAACTGAAAGCCTCAGAGACTTGAGGTGGGTAGAGGAACTAGAGGGGATTAAAGGAACGAGATGGAGGAGAACTAGATGGGGAAAAATAGATGAAAGAATTAAGATGGAATTTAGAGAGAACAAAAGAAAAATGTAGAGAGAATCAGGCAAGAAAGGAGCTAAGTATGAGAACAGAAAAGAAGCTGTGTAGAGAGATGTTGACTCAGAAGAATAAAGTGTATGAACTAAAGAGCTCTGTGTACTTAGATTCAATCGATATCCCTCAGATTAGTATCCCAGCTGCTTCTAGCTTCTTCCCCAGGACTCTGAGAGAAATCTCCCCAGGGCAGACACCTGAGGGGTATTTGATACGTGGGACTGATGGAGTCAAGATTTTAAGGGATGTATTTTTCTCTTGCCTCCATAATGGGGATTGCCTTGAGACTGATTGGTGATTGGCCTTCTGGGAATATGGACTTTCCAAGCCACAGGTGAAGGGCATCAGTTCACTGGGTCATTCAGAATCTTCTAGACCAGTGGTTCTCAACATGTGAGTCCCAACCCCTGGCAGGGGAAGGGCGAGTTCAAATGACCCTTTTGCTGGGCAACCTAAGACCATCGGAAAACAGATAACTTTATGATTCATAATAGTAGCAAAATTACACTTTTGAAGTAGCAATGAAAATAACTTTTTGATTGGGGGTCAGCACAATGTGAGGAACTGTATTAAAGGGGTACAGCATTAGGAATATTGAGAACCACTGCTCTAGGCCTGTGTTGTACAATAGTACCTTCTAGAATAATTTAAAAAAAAATGGTGTCACAGCTATTCTTGAACTGTGACTGGTAAGGCTGAAAATCTGAATTTTATACATTGTTAAAATGTTCATTTTAAGTGGCCAGATGTAGTTAGTAGCTACGATCCCTATTTGGGACTGCTGGTCTCTATTCAAACAAGAATCACCCAGAACTCCAATTCTTAATTCCTTAGTGCCTGGCCTGGCGTCTCTGCCATCTTGAATACACTACCCAGATGTATGGTCAGTGTCCCACGTCCTCTCCAACCTGCTGGGCAGATGGCGACTGCTCCTTCCCTCATCCATGCCCATTCTGCTCCTGCTGCTCTATTCACTGAGCTTTCTCTTTCCTCTTCCCACCCACTCCTGTCCTGCCCATTCCTGATGGCCTAGTGTGAACTTGTCTGTCCCCACACTCCCAGAGGATTGAGAGAGGAATGTGGTATAGAGACATGCCTGCACAACACGTGTGAATGTATTTGTTCTGGAGCGTGACATCAAAGCTCCCCCTGGCTGCTGAAAACTTAGAGATAAAAGAGGGAACTCGGTCTGGGCAGAGCGGGGCTTATTCAAAGCTAAAAGTTGGCAAGAACTAATGGCATTACTCTTGAGCTTCATAAAGGCCCTTATGTAAGTTACCTATAAATCTTTAAAAATGTAAAATTAATACGTTGTATGGAAGGCAAGCCCACAGTACTGTTTAAATACATGGCAGTCTCAAAGGAGTTTATTCAAAAGAATGACACACCATGAATGCAGCAGTTAAAACATGTGGGCAGCTGGGAAAGAATTAGAATGTGGAGAAAAATCACAGGGAGGCTCACGCTGGTTATTCTGGGACTGCCCCCTAATATGGAAGGAGCAGAATGGTTTGAACACACTTCTGCTGCATGAGCTATGCATTTCAGCATCTAGAAGGGCTCCAGCAAATGTACTTAGGACAACACTATTTCAACTCATCACTGTGAACTGAATTGATGAAGGACCTTGATTATTCTCAAGTGATTTTTTCCTATCAAATCTTAAGGATTTCCAAAGGTTTTAAAAATTGAATTTCTCATTTTGTTTCATTTCAGGTACACGTTTTTCTATAGTGGCATTGTAAGCGAGGTACACGCGACTGAGCGTCCCGCCAGAGTGGGCATTCTGCTGGACTACACCAACCAGAGACTTCTATTTATAAACGCTGAGAGCGGACAGCTGCTCTTCACCGTGAGGCATCGATTCAGCGAAGGCGTCCATCCTGCCTTCGCCCTGGAGAAGCCTGGGAAATGTACCCTGCATCTGGGCGTAGAGCCCCCAGATTCTGTCAGGCATAAGTGATCCTGAGCGTTCAGAGTTTATGAGAGTAAGAATTCAAGTTTGGGGTGGAGAGCTGTTGTTCTCTCTCTCCCAGATAGTCTCCCACACACTTGCACTCACAATAGCTGAGGGTGGTTCGGTCGGCATGTGAGGAAAGCCAGGGACACCATCTGTGAGTGATAGGCTGCAAACGCAGCCTCCGCCCTTCCGTTCAGAGTTGGAGTTGTTTCCTAAATTCAAAGGAGTCATACTCGACCCAGGAACCAAACCCAGAGAAATGGATTCCTGCCTGCTTTATCGGTCAAACAAATCCCCCTCAGCCAGATCAGAGAGGAGGGAAGGTTTTGTTAGTGGCACGGCACGTCTCCTCTGACAAAGAGACGTAGATTTCTCCCACAAGAAGATGTCACCTCACTTCACTAAAGGATAATGAATCCTAGTCATTAGAGAAAATGTTTTAGCTGATCTAAATTTACAATTAATTCTTTTATGATCATGTATGCTGTAGAATATAAGCCCAACTTCTCTGAAAATTCAAATGTAGAAAAATACTAGATATTAGAGCTTTCCATTTTGTTAAATAAATGTCTAGAATCTTATAAAATAAAACCTATTGCATGAACTTATTGCACGTAACTTAGCCCAGCCTTTCTGGACCAGGACGCAGTGGAGAGAAGATGCCCGTCACAAGCAAGCAAGGGGGTAGCGCTAATATTGATTCTCATTAGACAGTTTTGCACAGAGACTTTTTTTAAAATAAAAATGCTCTCAGTCCATAGAGCCTGAACAGTTGTTCACAGAGTCAGCCATCAGGAGTCGTGTGTCTCTTTTCATGAAAAATATATGCTTATTTATTTTTTAGATAATATACTGAAAGTCCTCAAAATCTTCCTAAAGTCTGTGTGTAGAATGGCTGGACCTGGGAGGCACACAGAGCTGATTGGTCTTGCTTTCCATGATGGGAATGTTTTAATTATATTTAAGGTTTTCTTTTAATATTATATACTCAGTTATTTTGCTCCCTCCCTCCCTTCATTCCTGTCTCCCTCCCTTCCTCCCTTCCTTCCTCCCTTCCTTCCTCCCTCCCTTCCTCCCTCCCTCGCTCCTTCCCTCCCTCTCTCCCTTCCTTTCTCTCTCCCTTCCTTCCTTCTCCTCCCCCTGTCTTCCTTCCATGCTTCCTTCTTCCTTTTTTTAAAAAATAGGATCTAGTCCTGGCTAGCTTGGAACTCACTATGGAGACCAGGCTAGCTTCAGAGCTCTGCCTGCCTCTGCCTCATGAGTGCTGGGATTAGAAGCGTGTGCCTCCATGCTTGGCAGTTCAGTTATTTTCTTGATTTGAGAAATAACATTTTACCTTGTTTTCCTGATACATCCTAAACTATGTTCTTAATAGCTAGAGAGTCTAGTCTGGACCTGGACCTGCACTGTAGATCCCCTCAAAAGCCTTCGTCACCTCATTTTCAAATTAGAGCAACTGTTGGCAAGATGGTCCCTGGTGAAATTGGAGGAATAGCCTGCTGCCTGTGGTGAACGTCATCCTCACCTTTTCAAGGCTCAAAAGTGTTTGCCTTGGGTTCTGACTGATGAGCCACCATGCTATTTTTTACTTTTTTTTCAATGAGGACATAAAGTAGCTCCGAGACAATACCAGTATAAGCAATCACATGGACTTCAGAATTTGTCTGTTTGTATTTCTCCAGATGTAGACCTAATACTTAGCATTACCTGTCCACATAGCAGGTGATTCCAGGAAGGGCAGTCAAGGAGTTGGGGAGAGGGAGATGGAAGCTCTGATGGGCAGTGATCAGGGTCACTTGAGTTGGAAGTCCCTCTAGAAGCCACATGGAACATGGCAGTGGGCATGTAACAAACTTCGGTGGGTGGGAGTTTCCTGAAGGGCACTTCGTCCATGAAAACACATGCTGCTCCTGGCATGCATGACAGTTCATTATAGCAAAAATATAATTAGTAAAGGAGTTTGTGCGAAAAGGGAAGGAAGGAATAATGCTGTAGTTATTCTCTCTCTCTCTCTCTCTCTCTCTCTCTCTCTCTCTCTCTCTCTCTCTGTGTGTGTGTGTGTGTGTGTGTGTGTGTGTGTGTGTGTGTACACTTAGCAACATTGAGGGGGCATACTCTTCATCAAAACTAGAGAAAAATAGAACATGTTCCTATTTGTTTTTCTGGGGTCACTTTCCTAAAACCCAGCAGAGCCGACATAGTGTCAGCCCTAGGTTGACAAACCTAGGGTTGACAGCCCTAAGTCCACAAACCAATACAATGCTTTAAAGACCAGACACCATCACTTTTAAATGGGCAGCATTCTTTAGCGCTCACAGGCTTCTGAAATCCCTTCTCAGCCCACTGCATTTACTACCCATGAACCAACACGTGTCCAGTTTCTGAAAGAACCCTTGAGGCCCCAACTGTTCTTGCTCATGGGACAGCTTTGTTCCTGGTAGAGGTGTATATATTACGACCATAGAGAGGAAAGCTGGGCATACAGCGGTCCTGACAGCTTAGGTATAAGCATATTTATCCCCCCCACTGTTGGGTCATGTGGTTTTCACATTGTCTCCAGGCTTAACTCATCACCACTATGTGCTTGAGACCTTGGGACCAGGAAGCTCAAATCTTGTTTGTGGTAGCGATGACGGTTTGTGGTGAGATTCTAGCTATGCACCTAGCCCTAACCTTTGAACCTCAGCTCCCTGACCCTCCCATGCTCTACCAAAACCAAGTGAAATTTATATATCCAGTGATTATGACTCAGTCACACTGCGCTCTGAAATGACCCATGGTTACAAGATTGTAGAATGTCACTTGTTTTCAGATGTTAGGTAGGGTCCATGGCATTGCCCAAATGTCAGTAGCTCTGCAGAGATGTATGTGTTTAATTAAGAGTGGCTGAACTTTGGCTGGTAATATATGGTGCTGTAGTCCTGAGTCCGGCTGCTGGAGTTCTTTAATAAATGCCATAAGTAAGACCAACATGAGGGCACAGCGGTTAGTGTGCTCACTGCTGAGTCGGATGTCTTGAGTTTGTTCCCCAGAATCCACATGGTGAGAGGAGAGGACCAATAAAAACCAACTTAAACAAGTTGTCCTCTGGTCTCCAAACGTGTGGCAGGTGTGATGTGCCTGTACTCACACAGACACATCCCTCCCCTATACACCCTCTAGTGCACATGCGTGTGCACGTACTAGAAAAAAACAAAAGCCAACCGAACAACAACAAACTCAACAGACTCTTGCTTTGGGTTCTAGATCCATGATGGAAACTGCTCCTGAGTGTGGGATGTCATTCCACACAGATGCTTGGAGCCCAGCATAGCATCCAGTGGGAAAGCCAAGGGGGCATAAATTCAAGCCCCCTCTCATTTCTCAGCTCACTTGTTATATTTGAATACATTGGGTTAATGCATTTGATAAGAGGAATTCTATGGTTAAATGAAGTCTAAAATGGAATGCTCTGAATGCTGTGACCCAGGGTGACCCAGGAGGCTTTATTCTCCCATTCTTTAGAGAATCCATCCCTTTCTATCCAAATTAGCATAGAACACTATCCATAGGATGTTGTGCCTCCTAGCCCAGATTTCTAGATTTCCTGCTCATGATTCACATTCTTCCGATTCTTCCTCTGCTTCCAGATTTCTCCTTCCTCGCCTCTGGCCATTTCATCACTACTTCATTTTTCCCAGGCCCCTTAGGTCAGCATTGTTCCTAAACATGGACATGGTGCCTTTGGGTATCTCACAGGACACTATCACAAAGCTGTGATTGACATAGCTTAGGTTAAGATTTAGGGGGTATAGCTGGGCATCCTGCCTCACACCTTTAATCCCAGTACTCAGGAGCCAGAGGCAGGTGGAATTCCATAATCCAAGGCCAATGTGATCTACATAGTGAGTTCCGGGACAGCCAGAGAGACCCGGGGGTGGGGGGGACTTGGGACCAGTAGGGGACATTTTCAAAGAACACAAAACAACCGGCTGACTGTGTAGCAACATCTTTGTTCCAGGTCCCTTCTGATCTTCTCTCCAGCCCAGCCTTCCTGCTGCAGCAAGCAGACTCAGCCCCCTCCGGTTCCCTTTGGGTCTTTACACTTCTAGCTTCTGCTCACTTGGGTTTCCTTTTTAGGGCAGACAGTGGAACTAGGAAACATCAAAATGTACACACCTCTCACTAGAATAGACATCTTTTATAAGAGCCTGAGAGCAAAATATGCCTTCCTTCTCTCTGCCTCTTTCATCTTGCCCAAGTCCGGGGCCTCTCAGAACTAAGAGGTGAATTAGAGCTATTCCTCATACTCAAGGACACTCCTCTCCCCAAGATGGATTTGGCCGTTAGCTCTTCGGATGGTTTAGAATCCCCTTCACACCCTGCTTTGGTGGTTTTCACTGAGCCAGTGATTGACTGAAAAAAATCTGTTCTCAGCCCAAGTGGACCTCCTAGGTTGCATTGAGTTGCCCCGATACCGTGAAGGACTTCACTCCTTGGAAGACGTCAAAGAGAAGTGACAGCCTGCGTTGCTCTGTGTGGATTCAGGGATTGCCATCACTGGGTGAGGAGGAGGTGAGGCAATGGAGAAGGGACAGACACACTGACACACACAACCAAGCTTGTGTCTGGAGGACTGTGCTTGTTCTGGTGGAGGGCACCAACTACAACATCAACCTGGAACCTTGGCCCATTTATTTAATACACCAGCATTGAGGAGGCGGGTTTATTGTATATGGTTGACTGACGACGCAGGTTTAGCTGATTTCTGTAGGAAGTCTCTGCAGGGGGAACAGTCCCCTGGAGGAGACAGGCTGCTAGTTTCCATATGCACACAGGAAAGGCTTTTCCACTCCTACAATCTGAAGCCATGGGGTCCTTGACATAGCCGTGTTCATGTCAACAAAACACATTCACGCAGAATTTCATTTGTTCCTTACACGTTCACTCAAGGCTTCCCTCACACCCCACAAGAGCCAACATGTTATTTAAAAACTTTCGGGGAAGTATGTGAAATAACTACAAAAGGGGTGGGGGAAGGAGGGAGGAAATGGGAAAGGAAAGCCATAGTCAGTTCATTCAGAACATTTATTGGTGCTTATTGTGGTGGTGTGGGGGCGGGGGAATGGGAATTGTTACATCAGAGATGTAGCTTTTCAGGTGTTTGTGTGCTGTGCTTCTCAACATGAAACAGGAGTTTCCTAAAGGCCCCCTGGGCTGGCCTTTGCCAGGTCTCAGCCCCTGCAAAGAAAGGTCCAGAAAGGCCTCCTGTAAGCTGAGAGATGAAAAGGCACATATTGTCTCCCTCTCAGCTCTGTCCAGGAACCCTGTGGCCCTGTTCACTTCCTGCTTCAAAAGGAGCAGCCTCCCCACTCGCCTGGCTGCTTTAGAACTCCTGGGGAAGCCACACCATTGTATCCAGGCTGATTTTGTGCTGAACAGCCTGCTCGCCCTCCCTGACAAGGCAGGAACACCAAAGACGGAGAAACATAGGCACAAAGGGTCCCCATCATTTCAACTGCACCATATTGTAGTTCCAGGGAAAGCAAGATGACATTGTCATCCAGGGAGGTGGCTGGCCACGCTGGACCTCAGAGGTCTTCACACATGTATGCAAATGTGTGTCCATTTCTCATGTGTAAATATGTCTGACTGTTCAATGTATGTGCATGTATGAAGTGTGTGTGCTCACTGGGGTTAGGAGAGTACAGGGTCAGAATTATCACTATAGTGCAGGTAGGTTTTCCCACTGAAGATCCAGAAGCTGGATTTGTTAGTGTTCCCCAAATTGTCATGGTCCATGAGTCT